TGTTTTGCACTCATCAAGAGCGAAGTTATCGAGATTGCAAATTGCTGTAATTTATAGCGTGTATTATAAAAGTTGTTAAGTTTAAAGTGACGAAAAACGTACTGATAGGGAACTAAAAGTCTGTATCGAGAAAGAATAAACTGGTTTAATCATGAAAGGACTTGTATCGCTGAAGATCTTTGGAAATAATTATTATCGGAAACAAACAAACAAGCAGATAACATTATGAATGTAGGGTTCTCAAAAATTATTAATGACTTAATATTATATATTTTTAAATTGGGTCTAACATTAGGACGCTTGATTCGCAATTTGAGATCGAAACCTATCGCCAAACATGTTCGTCCTTTGAACCGTGGGGGCATTACAATGTTACGGTCAACCCAGATCTTCGTTGTTAATGAGTAACCCAAGAGTTGGCGGTGGCTGATGTTGCCAATTCAAAATTCGAATTAACTCAGATAGCCCTCAAGTAGCTTTTCGTGAAATTCAAGAAACAAATGTTTTATATATATGCGGCACCAGCTTCTTCTTGGTAACGGGGTTGATGTGGGCTAGACAATAAATTTAGGGGTTATGCTCTACATATTGTGAAACACATACTGTAATATACAAGAAGTGAACCAGCTTTAAAAGTAAGCATTTTTCGTTGGTTTTGGAAGCTAAAGGGCATTTTGGGGATAATTTCCCCGAAAGTGAGCCGAAGGCCATCTAGACGGGTTACCTGTTGTTAAAATCCCATACAGTTGTGTGTTGACTATCAATCTGTCAGTCAGTATATACTAAAATTACGTCACGCAAAGGACGCTTAACGTTGCAATTTGTACTGTTGTGACGTCAGTAAAACGCGTGCCTGTCATGAATCACGAGAATTGTGTACTCTGTATGTTAAACAGTATGACATACTAACTTCAAAAGCCAGAAATAAATAATTGTTACTCTTAGTTTTGGTTATATTTACTTTTTAAATATACCACTTTCAGGGACCCTGCGAAAGTACATCTAGTATTGATTTATATTTTCGTTAATTGGTTTCAGCTACTAAGTAATTTACTTTAACTCGATGCAGTTAGCGCCATCTGTTGATTAATATATCTCATAACACCACCATCAATAGATGAAGCCTTCGTTACAAAGATCTACAAGTAAAGACAACAAAAATAACCGTGTCTACAACATTAAGTAGATGCGTGTGGTGATGGATTCATTTGTTTTACTCAGTTGTTTAAATTGCCGAAGAATATAATTCTCGAAAAAATTTTAAATGTTAAACCATTTTAACAAGGATTTTTTCCTTTTTTTTTTTGGTGCAGACGTTCGACGATCGACAGCAAAATCCCTTGATTGATTGGTTGTTGTTAAGCTCAAAGCTACACCATTGGTAATATATTACCTACCCACTACGGGTATTGAAATCCGATTTTTAGCATTAAGCCACTAGGGGCTGGTATAATATTTTTTCTTTAGATAAATTTCCTGTGAAACAAGTTTAAAAGCCAGTTCGCGATAAAAGGCACCTGACTTTGAAAATTTTTTATTAATTGCATTTCATGTACATTTTCCCCAATAAAACACAATTATGTGTTTCCTGAAAGTACATAACTTTTAGATTTGAATATCAGTTGCACCGTTTCACGTTACGGCACTATTAACATTCCTTGTACAAACACGAATATATAAATAAATATATGCAAACATTTTGATTAAAGTGTATTTGGAGCTTAAGTAATGTACAAGAAAATATGAGCGATATGGAAACCCCAAGTCCATTAATATGCAAATACATGCCACCGGTACCCTAAGCGTCATATCAAGTAAAGAGGTCGACTTAGCAAGATTGCCTTTCGAATTTTGAAGACACAACAGAGTTTGGATTTGGATGGACTAGGCGTCCACAACACGAAACTCAGTATGATACGAAAAATATTTTGTAAAGGATTATCATTATTCTATTCGCTAGTCAATAATATACAATGATGATGTGAGATAATATTTATGTAAAGAAGCGACCAGCAATAACTCAATTTCTAATATATGTTATATATGAATACAAACAGATACATGTACACACATCCACTACTAAAAAATATGTTATTAGCACTTTTACAAAAAAAAAATACTTCTGGATATGTAACTTAGCATATCCAATTTTATTTATCTTATTTGTAAAACAGGACTATTATAAAGACAAAAACATGAAGTGATGAAAATTTTTTTAATAAGCAAAGAAATTGGCATAAAAGGTAATGAAATTTCTATGGCTTGCATGCCTCATGGAATATATCTAAACTTCGAACATCTCTCCAAGTTGGAGGCATATTGTTGTGAAGACGGTTTCCACAGCGACGACAAGTAGCAGAAAATAAGGATGCATAGCTATGAAGCCAAGTCTAGAAATAAAAATTAAAGGATCACTATAAGAACAATAGGAAAAAATTATGCATTTGTATTTATTTCGTTAATAAACAAATATAATAATTAGAAAGAAAAAAAACAGTGTAAAAACTAGCACTTACAATATTTTACATATAAAGTATCCATAAAGCACCAATTTTCACAAAATTACAAAAATCACTTGTGTTAATAACCAAAGTTTAGTGAAAAAGGCTATTTTTCAGGTTAGGTCATTAATCAAACGAGGTTAATAAAACTGGATAAAAAAAAGGAATTATTTTGTTTTTAAGCATTTGCAGGGCATACTGGAAGAGTTTACACAGTTTGTAAATAAAGTTATAACGAAAGTTACCTTTACTCTCGGGGGAATAATAAATAAACTATATATATATTTTAGCCAGTGTTTTGCCACTGTAGCTTCTTCTTCATCATGGATAGTGGTACAAAAACTGTATTAGATCTTACACTACATTGGTTGAAATAAAGATTTTTATTATTACCAAGTGAGTAAAGGTTATTTTTTTCTAACTTTATTGCCAAAACACAAGAAAAAAAAGAGGAAGATCAGCATTTTTTATGCACAGGTTTTTTTTACCTATCTTGAAATGTTAATCTCTTTTGTTTTAATGATTTGGTAATACAGAAGCTGGATGTTTATCTGTATCTCTATTAACACAGTAGCTGGATGTTTATCTGTCTCTGTTAATACAGTAGCTGGATGTTTATCTGTCTCTGTTAATACAGTAGCTGGATGTTTATCCATATCTGGTAATACAGTAGCTGGATGTTTATCTGTATCTGGTAATACAGAAGCTGGATGTTTATCTGTATCTCTATTAATACAGTAGTTGGATGTTTCTCTCTCTCTCTCTGTTAATAAAGTAGCTGGATGTTTATCTCTCTCTGTTAATAAAGTAGCTGCATGTTTATCTGTCTCTGGTAATACAGTAGCTGGATGTTTATCTGTATCTGGTAATACAGTAGCTGGATGTTTATCTCTCTCTGTTAATACAGTAGCTGGATGTTTCTCTGTATCTGGTAATACAGTAGCTGGATGTTTATCTGTATCTGGTAATACAGTAGCTGGATGTTTATATCTCTCTGTTAATACAGTAGCTGGATGTTTATCTGTATCTGGTAATACAGTAGCTGCATGTTTATCTCTCTCTGTTAATAAATTAGCTGCATGTTTATCTGTCTCTGGTAATACAGTAGCTGGATGTTTATCTGCATCTGGTAATACAGTAGCTGGATGTTTATCTCTCTGGTAATACAGTAGCTGGATGTTTATCTCTCTCTGTTAATAAAGTAGCTGGATGTTTATCTCTCTCTGTTAATAAAGTAGCTGGATGTTTATCTGTATCTGGTAATACAGTAGCTGGATGTTTATCTGTCTCTGGTAATACAGTAGCTGGATGTTTATCTGTATCTGGTAATACAGTAGCTGGATGTTTCTCTCTGTTTCTGGTAATACAGTAGCTGGATGTTTATCTGTCTCTGGTAATACAGTAGCTGGATGTTTATCTGCATCTGGTAATACAGTAGCTGGATGTTTCTCTCTGTCTCTGGTAATACATTGGCTGGATGTTTATCTGTCTCTTATATCTCTTCAGCTTAGGACACACAATTAACCATATGACATTCATACTACTATTGTTTTGCTTTTCTCATCATCTTAGGTCTATTCAGTATATTTTTCCTCTACTAGCAAGGAAACATTAAATGTTGTTAGGTTTTGTTTGTCTGTGTAAAGTTAAGCACAAAGCTACATAATGGGCTATCTGTGCTCTGCCCACCACAGGTATCAAAACCAGGTTTCTAGCATTGTAAGTCTGTAGACATACCGCTGTGTCACTGCGGGCATGTTGTTAGGTAAAAAGTATCAGTATAGTAAAATATATTTAAAACAATCTTTGAAAAAAATCAATCATTTGTAGAAAGCAACTATCAGTAACAAGGACATAACAATAACCAATGAATATGAAAAAAATATTATATAACAATTGACCCCTTTCTGCAACATAAATTTGATTTCTTGTGTTGATCATTTATTTTGGTAATTTGTTTTATTATGTTGCACAATTGGCTACATAGTTGCAAAGCTACTAAAGCAGGTTGTTTATGAATTCACAGGAGACCCTTTGTTTGTGATGTTTTATTTATTAATCTTCCAGTAGTATTTATATTTTTAAGCCCATTGCTCTCAGCTACATAACTTATTCATCTTGATATTTAAATATGCAGTGCACACCTTACAGGCATCCAGTATGCAAAAACTATTTAAGATAAATCTTGGGTCTTCTCTGGCATTCACTGCTTTGACTTTTCTGGAATGATAAGGAGGAAAAACTTCTTGTTATAGTTGATCCTGACAGTAATGTCAGGAAAATCAGAGGATTTATCCCAAGTTATCTTGCTGAAGACATGCAGCAGTAGTGTCATGTGATGTATACAACACATAATATAACTACTAGAAAAAAGTGATTCTCCTGCGATGCATTATGTTTGCAGCCAAGGCAAGTACATGTCTGTAGGAATATATGTAAAGATTACTATGTTGTAAATTCTACATCAAGATGCACACATACAGATATATTATAGGCCCTATATAATATTCATAACAACTAAGACAAGTCACTATTGTTTTCAAGTAGTGAAACTGACCGACTTCTTACTGAAACTTTTCTAGAAATTTCTCTTGTCCTTAACCAAGGTTTCCATGGTTCTATAAGCTATATTTTACATAAATAATTTTCCTGCTCCAAACTTTAATTCCTTTATGTAAAAACTTCCTCCCCATACAGATTGAATTGAAAACAATGAGAGAAGAGAAATGGATCTGATAATTTTATTCTACTGAATAGTTATTCTATTGTATGAGTCACTCAACAGTGACGACAAAATTATTGGGTAATTTTGCAAAATGTTAATTAAAATTGAATGGATACTGCATTTCTATTATATACTTTTTTTAATGGTGAGTTTTTAAATATAAACATACAGCCCTTCTTTACTTCGGACAGAAATGAAGCATTGTCTGGTAAAATACACATACTTAAATACATGATGAATGCATGAGCATATGGTACTTGAAATAATTAAGGAAATGTCAAGGAAAATTTATAAAAGGCAAATACTAAGGGAATTACCCTAAACTACACTGTGATTGGTTATCACCCAACCAATCAGAAAGTACCATACCTGTATAAGGCCAATAAAAGTATAAGCAATCATAATACACCAAGCAGTAATGGTATTAATCCAGTCATGGCTTCCAGGAATTAAATACTGGATGACAATATACAAATATCAGTTTTGCCTGGTCAAGGATACTCATGCAGAAACATTTGAGGCAGACTTCATCTTTCAATAGGAGTGTATGTAAAGCAGATATGAAAAATGAGAACAGTTAATAATATAAATTCATTCAAGGATATCTAGCTGTCCCTAATTTAATTAATAGACTTGATCAAAGGCAACTAATCAAAATCACCAAACTGCTTATTCTTGGATTACTCTTTAACAATGAATAGTGGAACTGACTGTCACATGATAATTCCCCTAAGGCTGTAAGAGCAAACATGTTTGGTGACAGGTTTCAATTCTGCAACCCACACATTGTGAGTTGATTATCCTAACCACCAACCCAACACTTTCCAAAAGTGGTATTACGTATCTTATGGTATGTTCTGTATTAGACACAGGGCTTAACTCCTTAAACCGAAAATCCTGATTTACCCATTGGACGGTGACAGCATCCAATAACATTTATGTCTCTTTAGCTGAAAACTATTCCAAACCATGTTATTTTTCACCCCTTTTACATATAGACCACAAGTTCCATGATGCATTCTTGTTTGTTTTGAAACAAATTTCAGATCAATAGCAGAATGCACCAAAAATTACCAGTTTAAAAGAGTTCAGTACAAAATATTAGTGCATTGTACAGCTTATTCCCCTTTTGTTTTTATACTTAATGAGATGTTTTCATAATCTAGTTGCCTTTGCTCATTGTTTGTGACTGTTGTATGTGTATCACTTGTGCTTCCACAATTATTTCCACTACTGTCACATACAGCAGTGGAACTAATTGTGGAAGCACAAGTGATACATGTACAGCATTGCAAATAATTGTGGAAGCACAAGTGATACATGTACAGTACTGAAATTATTTGCACTGCCATGTACAGTACTGAAATAATTGTGGAAGCACAAGTGATATGTGTACAGCAGTGGAAATAATTGTGGAAGCACAAGTGATACATGTACAGTAGTGGAAATAATTGTGGAAGCACAAGTGATACACATACTGAAATAATTGTGGAAGCACAAATTATATGTGTACAGTAGTGGAATATCACTTGTGCTTCCACAATTATTTCACTACTGTACGTGTATCACTTGTGCTTCCACAGTTATTTGCACTGCTGTTCGTGTATCACTTGTGCTTCCACAGTTATTTGCACTGCTGTTCGTGTATCACTTGTGCTTCCACAGTTATTTGCACTGCTGTTCATGTATCACTTGTGCTTCCACAGTTATTTGCACTGCTGTTCGTGTA